CCGCTAATTTAAAGGCACTTTACCGCCACCTGCTGGGCTGGAGTGTGGACCATGACGGTTTTAAGGCCTGGATATTTTCTTAAGAAAATCCCCGTGGCATTTAAAAATCTGAACATCATTATCTCACCCATACTCTTTTGTAAAATCTCTTCAAACATTAACTGAACACTACTTCTCTGAAACGCCCTCGTTTAGCTGACTACAAATCACTTTTTTGTACTACAAATAATGGAGTAAGCCTAATCGTTGAGTCACTTCCGGTATTTCAGACAATCCATTTCCGTCAAGAGCCACTTGTTAATTTGTTGCGGACTTGTTAAAGTGTTTTCCTAAATGTTAGTTTGTTGTCAACCGTAGGTATAGTATATAAATATACACGAATAATTGGTGTATAGAAGCTTCTCTGTAAAACATCTATAATATTAGTTTAACTATGAAACTCTTCCTTTAATTATTAAGGAAGGATGTGCAAGGATGTGTAAAACTGTACAACATGCACAATACAACCTTTAATACGTATTACTTTTTTTTTTTTTTTTTTTTAAAGACATGATAAAAGTAACTGCATTATTTGCTTATGTAATGTAAATAACGATATTCTATAATCAGTCGTTAGGATTAAAAATTAAATCAAGTAAAGTTTCCTCTTTTATTTTGATAGGTGCTTTAGTCATGTGACCGCCTTTGTCATATGACTTATTGGGAAGATCAATGGGGAAGATGTGTTGGTTAAAGAAGTAAGGCAAGATAAAAGAGAGGCTTTCGCGCGATCTTTGCTGTGTGTTTCTCTTCTGAAGAAGAAATCCGAGAAGGAAGTCAAACATGGCAGCATGGCGGCTCTCTGCACTGTGGTTACTACTCTCTGCTTTGGCGTCTTCGTGTGTCCTCACCGTCAACCCTTCCCAGGTACAGTACCTGTTATTACCTGGTTATTACCGGGTTATAGCAGCATGCTGAAGCCCTGCAGTGTGTGCGGTGGAGCTGGTGACGTGTTAGCTAAGGTTAGAGTGAAACCAATTCATTAAAGGTTAAATGTTAGGCTTTTTGTTTCTTTTTCTCTAGAACTTGCATGATTTGGGGATTTCTAAGGTATAAATTATTTTTAGGTAAATGTTGCAGTTGAATAAAATAAAATAATTTCCAGAACTCGAAGCACGATCACATGTTTGTGTGTTACATGACACCTAAAGTATGCTGAAGATGCTCTTGGCCAAACTGGTTTTGCCTGTAGATACTTCTCAGTCATCCCTGACTCTCTTTTATCTGCCCTCCTCCCTGCTGTTCAGATTGACCCCCTGGTGTTTGAGGAGCAGCTCCTGTGGGTGAGTGGGTCCCAGGGCCAGGTGAATACCTACAGGATCCCGCTGCTCACCTTCACCCCCAAAGGAAGCCTGCTGGCGTTTGCAGAAGCCAGGAAGACTTCTTCTGCTGACCGTGGAGCAAAGTTCATTGCAATGCGGCGCTCCACAGACAAAGGCAAGACTCGGCTGAGTCAAACTAACAGCCTGTATATGTGCATTCGATCACAAGTCAGAGCAACACAGAGGGTCAAAACGTGCAAAACTTCATTTTTAAGCAAGACTGGGAAGTGGAAGCGCTGGGAAGAAAGGCAGACGTCAAAGCTAAATGCAAAAAATAATAAATAAATAAACAGATAAAGGTGTTAAAACACTTTTGCATCATTTTTGCTACATCTGTAACTTTTGTGCAAATTGTTTAGGTTTTTTTTCTGGGGGAAAAAATCACG